AAGTGAGGAGCAGACCTTGGACAGGTTGTCAGTCACAGGGCCAATGTCTCCTCGCACCTAAGGGCCAATTTATAACATTTGCTTACCCTAACATTCATATTTCTGGACTTTAAACTGAAGCAAACCTGTCATGCAAAAACCTACAGTGATATTTCTCAGGGATTTTTAAATGCATCAACAGCAGCTCCACTCCCTGTCAGCAACTATTTGAACAGATGTGTGAAATACACGATAGATGAGTTGTTTCTAATAACCTCAAGCCATTAAAATCTTAGGTTGAAGCTAGAAGACGTTATTACTGCATTTTTTTTTTTTTGCTAAAATAAGCTGAAAGACCTCAAGGAAATTAAACTAATCATCAACAGACCACCAACAAGAATGTGATGCATTAAATCTAAGCTGATGTCAGCTGTGTGCCACAAGTAACTCTCAACATGCTCCTAAAAGAGAAAATAAATGCTGATGTGAGAATCAGTTTTGATATTGTCACTCCTGACTTGAATTCAGACATGAGTAGGAATGTAAAAAGCACAGGAGGGGCGTTTTTTAAAGTAGCCGTGAATCAGACGACAAGCTCCCAAGACGACGGATCTGTGGATGTCATCAGAAAAGGCAGACCGAGACTCAAGTCTGGAATACAGATCTGCAGGATGCCACTGCCTGGCTGGCCAGTCCCGACTCACAAATCCACATGACAGACAGGATGCTCTCCATTTGTAATAGATGGTAATGTTTTGTTATCAGCTGGCCCAGAAGCATTCGTTTACTAACAGTCACACAATTTAGGAGTTTAGTCCAAATCACCCAACAACGGTTACTTCTGTTTTTCAGTCAAATACATATCGCTGCAACTTAGTAAGCAGAAGGAAGGCAATAAAATACACAGAATAACACAGTAAAAGTTTAAATTAGACAGTGATTCTTTGTAAACTACATCTGAAAACACAGACCAGTTGATTAAACACCATTTTTAATCCTTTTCGGTGGTGCAGTTAACCGCTAAGATGACTTTCAGCCTGTGTCACATCAGATCTCCTTCCAGTTAAAGGCTGCTGGGACTGACACAAACCTGTTTTTAGTTTTTTTATTGGTTTAATTTCAAGATAGGTGGGGTCGTGTGTGGCAAATTGGTCAATCCAAACCAGAGTTGGTTCTGTCTAACTTGTAATATTTCCAGTTAAGCATTTTCAGAATAAAAGCATTTCTTTGATCAAGTTTGTGTTTTTATAAATACTCTTTAAAGTTTAGCCAGATAGCAAATACTTTAGCTACTATATTTTGTGCATAGTAAATTGTATTTGTTATTTAAATATAGAGTAGAGCCGCTGCTCCTCCACGTCGAGAGGAGCTAGTTGAGGTGGCTCGGGCATCTGGTTAGGATGCCTCCTGGACGCCTCCCTGGTGAGGTGTTCCAGGCACGTCCCACTGGGAGGAGGCCCAGAGGAAGACCCAGGACACGCTGGAGGGACTNTGTGTGGCAAATTGGTCAATCCAAACCAGAGTTGGTTCTGTCTAACTTGTAATATTTCCAGTTAAGCATTTTCAGAATAAAAGCATTTCTTTGATCAAGTTTGTGTTTTTATAAATACTCTTTAAAGTTTAGCCAGATAGCAAATACTTTAGCTACTATATTTTGTGCATAGTAAATTGTATTTGTTATTTAAATATAGAGTAGAGCCGCTGCTCCTCCACGTCGAGAGGAGCTAGTTGAGGTGGCTCGGGCATCTGGTTAGGATGCCTCCTGGACGCCTCCCTGGTGAGGTGTTCCAGGCACGTCCCACTGGGAGGAGGCCCAGAGGAAGACCCAGGACACGCTGGAGGGACTATGTTTCTCAGCTGGCCTGGGAACACCTTGGGATTCCCACAGAGGAGCTGGCCCAGGTGGCTGGGGAGAGGGAAGTCTGGGTCTCTCTGCTTAGGCTGCTGCCCCCAAACCCGACCCCGGATAAGTGGAAGAAAACGGACGGATGGATTTTTTTTTCTTAGTTTGAAGCTGCTAAAGAGGCTCCATGCTACATACAGGTGCCTCACACATCCAGCACTTATAAAAGGTGATAATTTTTATTTAAATTTAAATGTATTTACATTTTTTATTTAATTGGTTTTATTTATTAAAATATTGCATTGAAAATAGAAGTATTGAACTTGCAAAWTTTTTTAGTGGACTTAAAATTAGTTGAACCTAATTTAGTAGAAGCTAATRGGTCTGTTAACTGTTGAGAAGCTAACTGTACCAGACACTTCTTCTCTAGTACTGTTGTTAGTCTCATGTTGTATAAAAACCAGTTGTGTTTGGTCACAATATGATTTTTGGTCTCAGTAAAGCTACAGGAACAGGATGGGAGTTTAGTGGTTAGGGCTTTTAAAGGCAACTGTTGATGGTTCATGAATTCTGCCTGCCTGAAGAAGTCTCTTCTTTTAATTTAATTTAATTTTTGAATGCTGTATGTTATCATTCACTTTGCGTGTTTTATAAAAGGCAGTGATGCTCCATAAATCTTTTCTAAAGACAACTTTCTTGAAAGAAAAATCCTTTCAGCGCTCGTCTCACTGTTGCAGAACTAGGATTATCTCATACTAGAAGATTCATCACTTTGTTTCTTTGTCAGAAAGCCTGGAAACAGAGTCTCGCACATCTGTAAATGAAATCCCACTTAATATTTGTTGAAACAATGACTGTCAGCGATGACTCTCAGTCTGCCGAAACGCCTCCTGACAAAGACAGACGACCACTCCGATCTGAAGCCTCGGCTGATGAAGGATTCTGGACCGTCTCGTTGCTGTGATTGGATCCATCGYCGGCTCCTTGCATCTGCTTCCTCAGACGATTCGTGCACATCTGTCAGGAGAGCCTCGGCATTTATACAGAGCTGAGCGCACGCATTATCYGTTGCAGCACCGAACACTTCTGCTGCTTTGAAGCCTCAGAGTTTATCAGATGAAGAGGCCCAGTGAGTGCGGTCCCAACGCCTGGCAGATAAACAGGACACACTTTTTCCCAAAATGTGATAATGAGGTCCATGGAAACTTTTATTCACCTACAATAACAGCTGGTGAAGCTCGGTGAAAGGGGACTCCTTGCTTGCTTTCTTCATTTTACTAACAGTAATCTGACATTTTGATATTCCAAAGCACAAACACAAGGGACGTTAATACAATTKAAAACTTTCCGTGTTACTGTAAGTCATAACATTTTCTATATATCGTTATGGGTATTTTTACAGATTACTTTAAGATCTTGTAAAATGTTCAGCCTATATCACCCACCTTCAGTCTGATGGTCTAGAGACCAAATGTTAGGATATTGCAAAATGTGTGTTTTGGTTTCAGAAAGTCTTGCCTTGGATCTATCCTACAAAACACCAATCCTTTTGGAAATACTTAATTGGAAATACTTTTTCTAGTAAAGTTTCTTCTTTCAGGTCTTCTGAACATTAACATGGACTGATACAGTATATTGTTACACCCCTAGTACCCACCTGAGACAGCTTTGTACCCACCTTGGCAGCCTTCCACACATTTATGATTCAAAATCTGTGGAAAGCTAATTGAGAATACCTGTAGTTTGAGATGCCCGAATCAACTCTGCTACAGTTTTATCAAAATACTTATTTTAGTATGTTCAAATTTTAAGCAACAAGAGGGCTAAGAAGTTGAGAATCATCATGAAAGTTCAGAGACATTTTTGCGACTTGCCTTTAGTCTCAGCCCAATTCATAAATACTCATTTATTTACAACAGGGCTATTCAACTAAACTGCTCCGGGGGCCACAGTTAATGCAGACCAAAGGCAGATGGGCCAAACATCCAGCAATTAAAGCCATTATGTAAATAAATTAAGTATTACAAAGATCTATTATGTTTGAAATTGTTTGTTTTGCTGCATTTAATCCTCAATACAACATACAGAACCCTATGGAATAAATGTAGTGATAGTAAAACAGTATTGCCAACTTTTTAAACCAATTTTATTTTCACTTTCATAGTTTTATCTTCAACTGTTTGTAGTTTTAACTGTCTTGGGTGTTCATAGAAATGGTTTTTACCAGCTTGTAGATACCAAACATGTCTATGTTTAACTAGAAACCAGGACCGCGTTTTACCATCTTAGAAACACTGCCAAAATCCCGCACATTTTTTCTTTTGACGATGCTGAGGTCCTCATCAACGCTTTTGTGACCTCAAGCGTCGACTATTGCAACTCTCTCCTTTCTGTATTACCCAGGAAAAGTTTTAGATGTCTACAGATGGTCCAGAATGCAGCTGCCCGTATTTTAACTCATTCTAAGAAATATGACCCATCACCCCTCCGTACTGTTATTTCTTCACTGGTTTCCCTGTCAGGTTCGAGGTGATTTTAAGGTTTTGTTGCTCACCTATAAGGCCTTAAATGGCCTGGTGCCTTCATATCTCACCAACCTATTACATCCTTATGTTCCATCACTCTCTCTCAGATCAGAAGCTACTGGCCTATTAACAATTCCTAAAGCTAGAAGAAAGACCATCGGTGAATGTGCCTTCTCTTTTCGTGCCCCTCTCTATGGAACAATCAGGCTTGTTCTGTAGAGGTTTTTAAAGCTAAGTTAAAGACACACCTGTTCAAATTATCTTACTTGTCTTAGTTTTATCTTTTAAATTGTTTTGATCTGTTCTGTGATTTTATCTCTTGCCTTCTGTGTTTTTATCTTGCTTTTTGTGATTTCATCCTTGCTTTTCTTGAATTCACCTCGTCACTTGTGATTTTATCTCCTGTCTAGCGCTTTGTTTGAAGGCACTTTATAAATAAAGTTATTATTATTATTATTAACTAAAAGAACTCATAATAATTAAAGTAGAAAACCGGGGGTTTGGGCTTAAGAGATGAATGAACCAATTGGCGGYCCGCATTTTGGTCYCCCACCAGTTGAATAGCCCTATTTACAACAAAAAGTAAAGAATATGTTACTTTCTAAGTAGAGATGTGGGAAAATTTCATCTCGTCTTGTCCTCCTTCTTACCAGGCTTGGAGACCAGTACAAGAACACTGAGCACCCCCAGCCCGGGCCTGATCCTGCCGTCTAAGTCCTCCTCCCTCTCCTCACCTGCCCTTTCCAGTAATGGCCACGAGACCAACTCCTCCTCCTCCTCCTCCGCCCACACCGAGACGGTGGCCGTCATCCACCCTCAGCCCGGCGGCCACGCCCGCTCCAGGCAGTCGAAGACCCACCCCCACCRGCCCATCGACCTCCTCCCGGACCACACGCTCCTGCAGATCCTCTCCCACCTTCCCACCAACCAGCTGTGCCGCTGCGCGCGCGTCTGCCGGCGCTGGTACAACCTGGCGTGGGACCCGCGGCTGTGGAGCACCATCCAGCTCGCCGGAGAGCTGCTTCACGCCGACCGCGCCATCCGGGTCCTGACCCACCGGCTGTGTCAAGACACGCCCAACGTGTGTCTGACGCTGGAGACGGTGGTGGTCAACGGCTGCAAGCGGCTCACCGACCGGGGACTGCACATCCTGGCCCAGTGCTGTCCTGAGCTGCGCCACCTGGAGGTTGCCGGCTGTTACAACGTGTCGAACGATGCCGTGTTTGAGGTGGTGTCCCGCTGCCCCAACCTGGAGCATCTGAACCTCTCAGGTAAAAATAAATAAATAAATAAATAAATAAACACCTGTCTTCTTCTATGAACCCAACTACCTTATGCCATGCAGATGTGAGGAATAAACTCAGTCAGTTCTTCCACACGGCGCTTTTCACTTCTCTTTTTCTGAAGCTGGTAAAACCATTAGAGAAGTAGAAGTAGCCAAACTTCAGTTCCCATATGGGAGAAAAATCTTTTTTTTTTAGCTGAAAACTTACCTCAACACAAGTAAAAGAATCAGTCTACTGCTTTTTATTAAATTAGTGGCACAAATCAAATCAAATTGATTTATTTCATGAATTGTAAACATCCTGGCTCRTTCCCAAACTGACAGCCTCTACTCTGGCGCCCTCAAGTGGCAAAATCCCTCAACTCYAGCCAAACGGCTCACATTTTCCCATGCTTCTGGTAGCTGTGATGATTCCTGCTGTCTTTGAAGGTCATTAGGGGATTCCATCCCTAATGCTTTTTTAATGTCGGCAATCGGAGACAAAACCCGCAGTCCCCATTCTGCAACAGAAATAAACTTCAAAACGTCACTTGAATTTATTATGTGGTGCGTCAAAACGTAGCTTCAAAGTTTTATGGTCCTATTCAAACTCTTTCTTTTGCTTTCAGTGAAGCCACTGCAGCAGTTCAGTCGAAACAGTTTTTGGAAAGAATGATGATCAAAGTTCACTTCTTTCTTTCCTTTTTTTTTAAACTGGGAATGCCTCACAAAGGAGTTTATTACCAGTAGAAAGAAAGTGAAAAATGTCTAACCAAATGTGAACCCACTGACTCTTCATAAAACCTTTAGGGTGTGATAAATGCTGTTTCTAATGTGTCCTGAACAGAGAATGAATTTGTTGTTGTTTTTCCTGCAGGCTGCTCGAAGGTAACATGCATCAGTCTGACCCAGGAGGCCTCGCTGCAGCTGTCTCCGCTTCACGGCCAGCAGATCTCCATTCACTACCTGGACATGACGGACTGTTTTTCACTCGAGGACGAGGGTTTGCGAACTATCGCCTCCCACTGCCCCCGCCTCACCCACCTGTACCTGCGCCGCTGCGCCCGGCTGACGGACGAGGCCCTGCGCCACCTGGCCCTCCACTGCCCCTCCGTGAGGGAGCTGAGCCTCAGCGACTGCCGCCTGGTCGGGGACTTCGGCCTGCGCGAAGTGGCCCGCCTGGAGGGCTGCCTGCGCTACCTGAGCGTGGCCCACTGRGCCCGCATTACCGACGTGGGCATCCGCTACGTGGCCCGCTACTGCCCGAGACTCCGCTACTTAAACGCCAGGGGCTGCGAGGGGATCACGGATCACGGCCTGGGCCACCTGTCCCGGAGCTGCCCCAAACTGAAGTCCCTGGACGTGGGGAAGTGCCCGCTGGTGTCGGACAGRGGGCTGGAGCAGTTGGCCATGTACTGCCAAGGCCTGAGGCGGGTCAGCCTCAGGGCGTGCGAGAGCGTGACGGGCCGGGGACTCAAAGCGCTCGCGGCCAACTGCTGCGAGCTGCAGCTGCTCAACGTGCAGGACTGCGAGGTGCCTCCAGAGGCGCTGCGCTTCGTCCGGCGCCACTGCCGGCGCTGCGTCATCGAGCACACGAACCCGGGCTTCTACTGACACGTCCGCTCCTCCAAATATTGTAATACTCCTGCGATGCTGTTAGCAGAATTCAGCCGATGTATTAGATTGGGTTTAAACCTGGTGTGCAATACAGGCCTTTATATTATCTGCTCGATGGCTGCAAGTGCCGTTCTTTAAAAAAAATACTTCACCAGAATGTATTTAACATATTTATCTGTAAAAGAAAAAGCCAGAGAAGTACAATATTTTACTATTCCCCACCAGCGTTAACAACATGCTACAACATTGAGCACTGGGTACAGATGTGTTAGCCTTTAAAGTCTCTTAATATATGTTTTACTTTAAAACTCAACATTACTTTAAAGCTCTGTATTCTATCTTGAAGTGGGGTTCTGTGGGTAGGTTATGAATAGGCAACATCTTACCTGTTGTAGATCGCTCTTTGAACAACTTCAGTTTAGAGAAAAACTAATTGGATGATAATCGGATGAGCTAACCACTATGGCGTGTTATTTTATTYTTATTWTTGTTGTTTTAAGATGGCAGTAACTCACTTTGGTTTTGGCTCTGCACAGACTAGCCTTTTGCTCATTGTTCCATTCAGAGTCATTTCTTTGTGATCTTTCTACAACAGGTAAGATATTGTTTACACAACACTCCAAATCAAAATATCTGAACTGTTGCTTTAAAACCATAAAAAATAATCACTTTCATGCGTTATTCTGACTATTTATAATAATAAAAAAATMATCATCAGATTAAATCAGAGAGGATGTGGCAACAAAGCAGCAATAAATTACATCTGGTAAAACGAAATCCACTCAAGTTTCACCTCTCTTTGTGTTTTGTGCCTTTGCACTTTATTCAGCTCTACTGACAATCATTTAAACGGAGCTCAAAGTGTCGTATTTCACATTACATCTGTCTTTATTAAAGGTCACTGTTCCGTGTGAGGAGCTTTCCTGCCATCAGAAACCACACGACCAGGGATCATTGTTGGAAATAAACAGGAACACATTGCTGCTATGACTGTGCCAATAAATATCTTCCTAAACCCAAATGTTTATGAGTCATCATTTCACTGGGAATAGATTCAGACAAGCCACAAAACAGTTGGATCTTGGAAAAATATAAATAAATTAAGAACGAAATGCTATGATTTGATTTTGATTTAATCCGTGTATTTAATTGAAAGCAGTACYTGCACTTTTGAAAGCAATGAAAAAAGTTAGGTTTTGAGAATTTAAATGTGCCATTGCCGTACCACCAACACTTAAAATCTGGACTGAAGCATGTTAATTTTATTAGACTCCAAACAAATACTTGTTTATTTTTCACCCTAAGTCCTAAACTGAAATCTAGATTAGTCAGATGTATATGTCACATTTCATTTTTCTCTGTATAAATGTATGGACCAATCTGTGACTATAAGACAAAAAAACACCCATTGCCTTTATGAGCTCAATATGCTGTGTAAACTTAACACAACATAAAGGGAAATTTGTGTTTGGTAGATTATTTGTTGTAACAATGCTTCACGGCAATAAAACCAACTAATTTGCTTTTAAATGGTGCCACATTTGTTTGTGGGATAAGCAGTAGAGCTGATTCTCACCAGTAGAGGTCGCTAGAGATCTGTGTTTCCAGCTCTCATCAAACAAGTGAAATCAAAGTGAAATGTGAATGGTTGTTGCTGAAAGCTACTAATTAAGCTGAAATACTTTGTTAAATAAACTGTTAGTGCAAGCTGAATATATATAT